ATTCGAAAATGTTTGACATAAGGTTATAATTAATTCACATAGAGAACATTCCAATATTCGTAAAGAATGTTCTCTATATCCCTATTAAGCAATTAAAAACAGCATTCAATGGAAGATTCAGTTCCATTATGCCCGGTCTACCGAAAACGTACTTCACCTTCATAATTTGCCACAATCAGGATCTCTGTGGGGAGTTTCATTTCGAAGAGTGATTGTGTAGTGATGAAGCGTTTCACTCTCGGCAGCAGTGTCCGAGTTGAACCATATTTTTCAGGCCATATATCCGAAGAACTAAGGAGAAAATGGAAGTAGTAATAAAAATAGGAAAAAAGAATAAAAACTACGGTAATAAATGCTAATAGCAATGTAGGAAATAGCATAGTAGTAGTGATATCAGTCATCATGGGCATGGTGCTTGTTTGATTCCCTACCGTGCCAATCAAGCCTGTCATCGCTCCGGGGTCGGGAAATTGGTACCGGACTTGCAGGAAAAAGCCGAGAAGGAATCACTGTCTGTAATCGAATTGGGAACACTCCAGACCAGCTATGCCTGGACTCCGGAGGGAATCGACTCGACCAACATTCTACGACATTCAAGGTGAAATCAAAGTTCTCAAGCAGTAGCTGAAGCCACACGTAAGACTTGTAAGTTCTTCATAGACAATGGATGCGGGGAAAAGAATCAAATGTGAGAAGTGATGGGTTCCACATAGAAGGCGTGAAGATGGGTCATATAAAAATAAAAAAAAGTGTAAGAAATAATGATTTAAGCAATTTTTAGTGAGTCATTTGTACTTATCTGCACGTTTGTCTTCATTTTCAAATTTTTGAATAACTCGTACGTGTGTGGGATTGATCTCAATGTTTTCTTCTAGTCCCTGCAGCAGTCCATGGTTACGATAAATTGCGGCATTCCATCCAGAGTAGATCCCCTCCTTGTATGCCGAACTGAACAGAGTTAACAAATTTGATTAATTATAGTGTTTGGTAAGTGAGCGGAAGTAGAACTTTTACCGTACAAGTCGAGTGTAACATAATAATAGAGCAGCTCCAAGGACGAGACAAAGAAGAGAAACCACCAGAATTACCAGCAAATTGCATCGTTGTCGACTAAATGAATTTCGGTTAGAAAAGGAATCTTTTGTTCTTTACTCTCAACGACGGTGATATAAATAAAATAGATGACCAAGGGTTTTCCGGCACAGTTAAGAGGCAGTCTTTAGGTACCAGCGCAAACGGGGATTATTTAACTCACAAAGCGTAGATTACAAATCATCAGCTGTTGATTAGTTCCTTAGTGATGCCTATATTTTAACTTCATTTAACATTTTAGGAGTGACTGAATGCATATTTGGCCTACCCAGTGGCTTCCGAGGAACTACCGATGTGTCATAGTAGTGTTTCTGTCTCCCAGAACAAGTTTGGTGCCAGTTTTCTGCTTTCGGGTTAACGAAAGGCTTGGTGAATGAGGTGAGTAGCTGTGCCTCTCTCTTCATGGTGATAAACCCGCCCTCGGGTTTTAAAATGGAATGAAATATAGTAGACAATACGGAAGTACAAGTGGAAATGTTGTTCATACGAACACCTTCAATTTAGTGATTTTAGCACTACGTTCTCTGATGTTTGAGTGAAGCAAATTGACGAAATTGGAGCCATGTTCGTTAAATACGGTAGGTTTTTTAAACGGTTGGAGTGAAGCTCGGGTTATTTCGATTTCCAGAAAGAAGATCGCTGGGCGATCATGAGTTTGATATTAGAAAGAGAAGGTTATTCCTAGGTCTGAATTGCAAGGAACCATTGGTTCTTAAATTATTATCGTGACACAACTTCAAGTTTTAGAAGATCTCCATTAAGCAAAAGAAAACTATTTAGGTCAACTAATATGCTCAATTGTTAAACTCTCATTTTTTTCTTTGTCCACCCAAATTTTTTTTGGAATATAGACTGGGCCTCGCAGGGAAGGATGTCGGTAGAAAACACTTTTAGAATGCTCTTGTATCACATTGGTTGACATTACTCATTAGATGAAGCAGTTAAAATAAAACCTTCTTTTGTTTCTGCTATTCTCTTGCTCTGGAAGCGTAGGCGATGGAGTTCTGTCTAGAGGAGAAGATGAGAGTCGAATAATAGACAGTGGTCCGGGCGAAGAGTTTCGATTCTTCCCCGGTCTGTAACGAGAAAAGTCCAGTGGAATGCTTTACCAGCAACACTGCATACCTGTCAAAATTTCCACCCTCCATCGGCACCCACCCATAGTTGCTGATATGACGTTCCTCAGAAGGTTGAGTGTTGAGTGTTGTTAAACCGGGTAGAATTATCTGCAGAATATTTCTTTTCGAAACTTGCTCTTTATGTATCGTATAGGCTTCTTTCACATTGGCTCTTACTAGTATGTTGTTTTGTTGGCGTACTGTTCCAATGCGCTTCTTGTTGCTACATAATAAACGTTGTCAGTGACATTACTTGCAATCACAGATCAAGCGAAACGTGGATTCATTGGATCCATATACTTTCAGTGCAGCTCTCCACGAAATAGGAGTGAAATGTTTGCTGTTACTGGTATGGATCCTATTTGTTTGATTCGTGTAGCTCATCCGTATAACTCCGCAATGAAAAGGACTGTAGAACAATTTTAGATGACCGGAGACCAACGCGGTGCTGAAATCCTATCCCTTTTACGCTCAGTGAA